AATGACGAACTCATTATCCTTTGTTGTATGATGAAAGGGGTTGCCATGGAACGTCACACCGTACGAAAAATATACCTCGAGCTGCCGCTTCGTTGTCATGTTTCGATGTGTTATGCGGTAAATATAGCGTATTATAGCCTCTTTCACCCGATGAGATGCTTTATTCAATCGCATTTCTTGTTCTTTATTTTGCGGGTGCGTTTCCATTCATTATCACGCTTAACATACTTTCAGATCTTTCATTGTACGGAAGAAGATGATTAACTGTCCCGTCTACGCTTTGTCGTTGTAACTAGCTCGTGGTTTTGACGAGCTTTTATTTCTTCCGAAATCTCTCTGGGCGCGTTGGGCAGGATTTTGAAAATTGCTGCAATAACGCGCAGACAGGCGTGGAGACAACAATCATCGCGTACGTTACCATGGGACGAGAAAGGCGCATAACCATATTTTTCTATTCAGTCTGTGTGCTCATACATACATACATACATACATACATACATACATACATACATACATACATACATACATACATACATACATACATACATACATACATACATACATAGCTTATGAGCCTATCAGTACGCGCGCCCACGTATTGATAGACTCGGCATAGACTTCCGGTGCTACTTCTCGAGAGCGTTCACCTGTTTGATACGTCATGGATTTGATATCACTGCTGCAGACAAATCGCGATATCAGACCTAAATACCACATATGCGTGGTCACCGAGTGGTCTGCTGCCGATTCATATGGTTGTGAAAGTAAGGTATGCAGCTAGATGTTCTTGCGTCGCTTGGTCTCGTCCCATTCTCTCTCTCTCTCTCTCTATATATATATATATATATATAAATATATATATATATATATATATATATATATATATATATATATATATATATATATATATATATATATATATATATATAATAGAACTGGTGAAGTCATTTGTACTGATCAATGTCTATACAAGTACGCTCTGAAGGGCGGTGACAGTTTCGCGTTCTTTTCTGTGAATTCCGTTATCCGTAATCAATCGCGTCGCATTCAGTTAGCGCTTCATATAGTAGTGAACCCTTTCCAGCAAGGAGATATTATAACCCTCTTTTTTTTTTATTTCCAATCATAGCAAGCCACTATATGTATGATTCTGTTTTTTTATTGAGCCGTTGCCTCAGCATACGCAAATAGTGCGTAACGCATCGGTGCAATATAAGGGTACACTCCCAGGGCCATCAGACGGTGCCGCCATCTAGTGCCTGCGCCATAAGCTTTAAATGCCTGTACATTTACGGACTCCGGAGAAAAAGTCAACAACTTTGTTTGTTGTTGTTTTTTTCGACAACTCCGCTGAGGAATGGTTCCCTCTGCTGAAATAGGTCCTTGAAGCGACTGAAGCTGGGAAGCATATGTTGGCGCTCGTGCTGTCGCGCTCTTAGTTCTCCCATCCCCTGTGAGATGATGAGGAGGCATGCGAACAGAGCGTATTCAGAGATGCACCATTACGTATCGAGGTAAGCTGCTATTGGTTCGCATCCATAATATCAAACACCTTTCGTATCACTGGCAGATTGTCTCCCCGCTTTATGTGGCGCTTGTCGAGAAGCTGGGTCCAGGTAGCTGTTAATTACGAGGCTGGAGAATCCGATCGGGCAAAGCCCACGGTCCCTTTTCATGCGGGATCGCCACGATGCATTCAACAATGAAACAGTTCAACATAGCGTGCTTAATAACTGGGCCAGTACATGCTTGAGGGAAATACAGAGTAGGTGCGTTCTTTCTGCGGTCGGATATTGTCATCGAGCCTTATTCTAGATTCATGAGCAAAATAATAAAAGTACATCAAGATCAAGCGAGGAAACCGGTGATGACACCGATAAATTAGCTTCTCGGCTGTCGTGAACAAGAACACTGCTCCATAGGGGTAATATATATGCGCAGTAATATGCATAGGGCGCAAGGGTGCGAATTTACAGTGCGTATGAAAAATTAACGCATAAAGAATGGGCTGCGTAATGTGATGTGTCAACGCTACCCTGTTCCTCGACATTATACTAGGTGATCTTCGTAGTCTGTGTTTTATTATTAGTAATATATCATCTATTCCAACCGCATAAGATGCATTTCGCTTTGGAAATTGTTCCGCTTTGACAGACGTTCAAGGCATTCGGTGTGGTGGTTGAAGTGCGGGCACTAAAATTTATCGACGGTATTCGCGCAGTTATGACCTCAACTGTGCACTTTTGATGTCTGTTTATGTTGTATCCGTTTCCAACGGCCGACCAGCTGTCATGTCTTTAAACAGACGGGGTGATCGCATTTCTAAGCATCGCCTCTCATTAAACGACAGGAATATCGCTTAAATCACTTCGCTTATAGTTCGTTGTATCTTTTGTGGCTGCACAGTCGCTTGCAGCCGTTAAGTGCACCTCTGTGGCCATATGCGCTGTGCAGACTGCATCGTTATACGTGGCGCGTGCATTGTGCGATGAAGTAGCACGCTGACTGCTCGACGGAGGCGCGCGCGGTGTTATATTGTTCTCCATATATCACGACCATGCGTCATGAATCGCGAGCGCTGTCTATTCAGGTCTATTTTGCGATCTAAAATTCCAAGAACTGAAGCTGCGCGCCACTCCGCGCAATGGAAATCGTGCGTCTTTTGTGGGCGGCGGAGCGGGTCTTTTTTGTCGCATTGCGCGTGGTAATTCGGAACTGCGAATGGCGCCGCGCCGTTAACAGTTTAATGATCTGTCCGTTGCTGTCGCGTGCAAGGTTGAAGGGACAAAAGCGGCGCAGTATGACGGATGGCTTCCGAGAATCGAACCCAGGCTACTTGTTCGCGCTTCGGGTGATGGAGTGTCTTTTCTGTTTTCTCTTGCCCTTCGAGACCGCGGTGCGCATCTTGCGCGATTGCTGCTTCTTGCAATCGAAAAAAAAAATGCTCGAATTTCTTACTGCGTTCTCTGATTGCCTCATCTCCCGGTCAGTCCGTAACAAGGCGCCAGATACAGTGCTGCGCTACTTGTGTGTGGGTTCTCATTGAAGCTGCCCCCTGCGTGGGCTGTCTCATCCGAGCTTTCTTCGCTCTGTGACTGCCCATTTTTTTCTTCTCTGCCATAAATTGACGTTCCGATGTCTGCGCCTTTTTTTTTTTTTTTTGTCTCACGTTCCTTCCTGGTGTAGTTGTAATCACTCGTTGATAGTCGCAGGCACAGTGTCCTAGGCATGCATGAGGTACTCTCCTTACGTCTCACGGGCTTTCAGTTGACGTACGCCTACTAGAATTCATGGGGACGAACAAATGGGGAAAAAGAGCAACAGAAAAGCAATAGTCATTCTTAATCGGGATAATACAATTATTGTTGCATTCTAATTCCTCATCGTCCACCGTTCAATGCGTGCTGCTCCATAGGATAATATACGTGGAGCGTCGCGCTGGCACCACAGACCAATTACGAAAACAAAGAGGTTAGCATAATCGCTAGATAATCTCGGCCCATACATCCGGCTTGCAAGTCGCCACGTAATCACAAAATGGATTTGACTCTAACCAAGCCCGGTAACATGTCGTCCTGGTCGATGGAACATTTAGCCTGGGCTATGCGGCTTGTTTCATCTACCGATGTAAGGCCTATTTATTGCCTTCTTTCTTAGTAATTTGTGAGGCTTACATGATCAAGATTTAGCTAGGCAGCCAGCTTACATCACTATATGCGCAGTTAATCAGTCTCTTTTAAAATTACATTCTGCGGATGGAGGTGAGTGTCTTTTGCCAGACAAATTTTCTGTGAGATGACGGCGCTTCGCCCAAGTCTATGAAGCTATTGGCCTTGCAATATTATTGAGCGAACAGTTAATAGGGGTAACTTTGCATGAATTTTCCTCCGCACACACTCTAAAACAGCCACTGCTTCCGATCTGAGTCTGCTAACGTGTACGTAAGTGCAAATGACATTGGAAAGGCAAATAACCAAGGATTCATGGCTGAAAACTGTAAAGTACCTTTTCCCATATTTTGACAACGGACATGCGCGCCATTGTCTCGAGCACTATTTTTCGCGCCGTTCGAACGCAGCGACCGAACAGGCCTGACTTTTAAAGGGTGTCTCGGCGGATACGCAGTAAGGCTCCCGACGTGTCGACTGACAGGAGTGGAACATTTATGCGACATATACGCAAAATGTTCTGCCCCAAGGCGGCGCTCATGTATTACAAAGTGGGCGAAAATATTCCCAGCTTCCGAGAAGCCAATGATAGTCCGGAATAGTTTGCGCTTTTCTTATTCGCGCCTTGAAAAAAGCAAGCCTGTGGAGGCACTAAATGCCTCCACATTTGCGCCCCTTGCTGACGCTCAGATGATTGCAACACTCAGTACTATCGTTTGTCGCTCGCCGCCTCCACTCATAGCAGTTTCTTCCTAGGCCTGAAGCGCCTTGGTGTGGCTTTCGCAGTACTTTAAAGGCAGGACTATGTGAAGCTTATTAGCGTTCAAGGGAAGGAGAAACTGATTCACTCGACATCTGGAAAACCGTGTCGCATTTCGGTATTCTGCTTCATTGTATGGCGTGCTCGTACGTGTTCGTCGGTTCTGACTGGCTATCTTTATTAAACATGTCGAGGCGAGCGTGCCAACTACTCAGCATGACTTTTATCTCGTTCAACCATAGAAGCAGTCGTTTTTATTCCACAGTTACTGAAATCTTTGGCTCCTCGTCGCTCTAGAATATCCGTTCGTGGCCCAGCAACAAAGCAAGAAATTGGGAGGATATTTAGCTGTGCCGCAAAACTTGTTGTTTTGTCCACCTTGCTTAGACACGTTGCAGTTAATTTGATGCTAACATCACATGTCCGATTTATATCTCGTTATCCTGTGTAAGGCGCCGACTAGGTAGCGTTGGTCAGTTTTATTATGCTGCATCTGTGAGACATGGGCGAGGCATTGGCGTCATTATTTATATTTTCTTTTCTTTTTTTCTTTTCCTTTCACCTTCTCGCAGCTCGACGCCAAGAAGAGCCCTCTGGCATTGCTGGCGCAGACATGCAGCAACATTGGTGCCGACAACCCCAACATCAAGCCTATAATTCCGCCGCTGGAGAAGCCCAAGGACCAAGACAAGAGCAAGGGCAAGTCATCGTCGCTCTCTTCTTCTTCGACGTCCTCATCGAGCCAGCTGGACGACAAGCCGTCCTTCAAGCCCTACGAGTCGGCGAAGAAGGAGGACTCCACATCCAATGGTGACGTGGGCGGCGGCAAGAAGTCCCCTTCCTCATCGTCTAAATCCCCGCCGCGGGTTGCGAGCTCGTCTCCCGCGGCGTCCATTGCATCCAGCGGCAAAGCATCGCCCGCGGCTTCCGAAGGTGGTCACTCCAAGTCAGACACTTCATCGGGCTCGGCGACGGCCATAACGACTACCACGTCCTCCTCCTCTTCATCCTCGACGCCGTCGTCGCAGAACACTCTGAGCGGCCTTGGCTACGGTGGTGCAGCGGCTCTCGGCTTGGACCTGGCGCGCGACAAGGACGCGCTGTCGCAGTTGACCTCTCTGAGTGCGGCCTACAAGGGTCTGAACCCGCTGGCCAACTGCTGCTCGCCGCTACTGGCTGGCCATCTACCGGGATCTATGGATGGCGCGTTCCCCGGCGCGGCGCTAGCGAGCCAAGCACTCAAACTGGGTGGCTACCCCGTGGGCTCGCCCTTGTCGCCATACGTGGGTTACGCTCGTGTGAAGACAGCCGGCGGTGGCACTTCGCTGGTGCCCGTTTGCCGAGACCCGTTCTGCACCAACTGTCAGATGAGCATGCAGAGTGCGCAGCTAGGTGTCTGTCCTAGCGGCTGCACACAATGCTCACACGACCGGCTGGGTCAGGGACTGGGCCTGAATCCGGCACTGATGCCTCCTGGGCTGGGTTCAGCAGCTGGCGGTCTCGGTTCCCCTCTGTACCCAGGTGCGGCTGCCGCGCACTCAATGCTGACGCGGCCGAACGTCTGTAGCTGGATGGTAGGTGACACATACTGCGGCAAGCGGTTTTCCACTTCTGAGGAGCTGCTACAGCACTTGCGCACCCACACCAATCTCTCGGTGACGGACTCTAGTGCGCTTCCACTGTTGTCGCCCAGTCTGTCGGTGCCATCGGCGGCGCCCAGCGGCCTCAGTGCAGCAGCCGCTGCCTGCCACCTGCACTACAGCACGGCGCCATCGCTGACTACGCCGGCGGGACTGCGCAGGACCTATCCAACAAGCCTGAGCCCCGTCGGCTCGCTCTCGGCGCGGTACCACCCATACAAGCCGCCAATACCGACCTTTCCTGGTACGCCATTCGCTCCGCTACCTCATCCTTCACTCGGCATGTACTACTCGCCATACGGACTCTATGGACAGAGGCTAGGGCCCCCTGTGCACCCCTGAACGAACTGTCTTACCTTTGCGTGGCCTGTGGACACTCGCTAGTGCAGTGCCATTGTCTCTCCCACCTACCCTCTCTCTCTACGGCTGCTCACTTGTAAGAAAGGTCTTCACGTGGACTCTTGTGTGCGCGCATGCGTTGAAGCTCACTTGGACTCTGAGCGGCTATCCTCTCATCCCGAGCGTAGTTTGTAACTATATTTGCCGAGCCTTTCATGGCTTTGTGCACCGCGTTGCTCGGCAGTGTTTGTCTTTCGTTGGTCTCCCTGTTCATTATTACTTTTTTAACGTGTTGTTTAGGCCCCAATAGAAGTATCTTCGAAACACATCGCAACGGAAATACTTACCAGTAGGCCTTGTTGTGCCGGAAACATATGCAAGCAGTATGCAGTTCTTCCTCTTTGGTGAATTTGCTGCGCTAGAGTGAACCGGAAAAGCACGGGCATGCATCTGACGGGCTGTTCTGGCTCTATTTAAAGCACGGTCGTTCGCAATAACGTAATGCCTGTAGGCATTTATGCACTCAAAAGCGTCGTGTGATTTTCGAATGTATTCCGCGTCACTTGCACGTTGTCACAGTTTCTGACCTTTGTTTTCTTTCGAGGCTGTACTTTGCGCACATTTACAACTCCACACGCGTCACTTGTGTGGCTGGACTTCACCGCAATGGCTCAACTAACGAATTAACTGATGTGTGAAGCACCTCATGTCTTTGGCGTGCGCCTGTCAGTGCGTCGGTGGACGTTCATTTTATTGGATATTGTTTGCACATGCTGTCTCCGCTTGCCGTTTTCTCCCTTGTCAACATTTCGGTGGCGTGCTTCCACTGCATGATGGCCCACCGGTTCTCTCTCACTCGGTGATGTGTTTGTGGGGTGGGGGATACCAGGTCAATTTGAATGAATGTTCTGAATTCGCCCTATTTCGGTTTACTTCGGTGGGGCAATCAGGACGAGAGTAGTCAAAGAGCACCACTTACTGTTTGAAAGCTACGTCACAAAATGATCGCCAAGATTATTCTCAAGAAAGGCTCGAACTATACTCACCTGTACGTCGTCCACGGCTTATTTCCACCTCGGTCGGGTACTAATTTTCACACATCGGCTCTAGCTTGTTGAAGTTCGCGCTACGCCTTCCGCTTGCGTTTTATTTTCTCCTTTTTTTTCAACGTATTCGTTTTTACAATGAGGCTCTTGTAATTTCTCCGTAGCTGGGTGTTTTGCCTTTTGGGGCTTCACTTTCGTACGTGTTCTGTTGAATTGCGGACAAACATCGTGATTCGCGTTGGGAGCCGCTGCCACAACGCATCTTCAATTTTAAACAGGCTGCACCGAACTTCTACAGATTTATGTCGACGCTAAGTAAAATATTTCAGCCGCTCAATTTATGTGCGCACTTTTCCACTGCCATCGATGGCGTCCCTTCTAAACGTGTCGCGTTTTGTCTCGTATTGCCAGCGCTACAATGTTATACTCCGGTCACCAACTCAGCCCAACGTGGCGGAGATTTCGTGCACGTTCCGAACGGTGCGTATGTAGGACTGTGGAATACAAACTTCGGAGGGAGTACGTGTTGTGGAAGATAAAGGTAAAAAAAAATAAAACAGAAGCAATGCTTTCAGTTTGCCACATGTCTCGGCAAAGAAAACAAAGAAAGAAGCAGCGAGGGGCATCTTCGTGATTGCCCCATCGATCAGGGTGACGAATGGTGCCTAGCTCGGCGCGACGCCACGGCCTTGCTAATCTAAATGTAGCGTTTCTTTGGAAGGGAGGAGAGGGGGATTAGCATTCGCGAGGGGATCGCGTGATCCGAATGGCAGATTGTGGGCCAACCGAGTGCTGCAGGCGCGCGATTTATAAATATTCGTCGCGCCGCCGCGTTTTACCACTCGCTGGGAGTTCGGCCTCTTTTTCTCCGTGTTACCGCTCTCGATGCTTATCTTGAGCAATGAGCCCGCGGCTGTGACGGCGCGCCCCCTTGCGGCGCTCACCGTTACGACAAAACAGCGAGGATCCTACATTGGTTGACCGGTCCTTGATCCGGTGTGTTTAGTTCGGTGAAAAAAAATCTAAAGATATTTCTGGTGGTAGTACAGCCTTACTGATGAGCTCTTATTCAGGACGAAGTCGAAGCGCAACTTTTGTGACATGCAAAGAAAGAGAAAAAAAAAAACAGTCACTGCTTATGTTTGTTAAATATCGAAACTTTCGAATGGCCCACAAGGTTCCTCTGCTCTTGCAATGCGTAATAGTCGAGCGGAGGATATTTCCGACTTGGCATCTTGAAAGAATAGGTACATATTCACCGAAAAATATGGTGACCTAATCTAATAAGGTGACATAAAAGTATGGAGTGAGTACACCGTGAAACCCACAAGAAACTTGAGTAGAGCGTTTTTATAACTGAGCAGTTGCCTTAGTAGTTTTCCCGGATCACGAGCCTTTTGCTTCTGTTTCGGCTACGCTTGTGACCAAAACCGCGCCTATAGACTCCTACCGGGATAGATGTCCGCCTGTTCGAGAGGAAAACTTTGAAAGCTGTAGTAGCGTGCAACCGCGACCGGTGTACAATGCCGTACATCATACAAGCACACGAAAATATACCTGTTAGTTCTTGTTACTTGAGAGTGTCGTAATTGGAGCGTAATCTTTCACCTTCCATCTGGGGCTTAAACGGGGAAGCGTTTTCCAAGGGAGAATACTTGCTCGACGTGCACTAAAGCATCTCAAAACGCGGTGTGATCTCTCCTGGCGTCAAATGCTAAGTCAAGGGTGTCCAAAGCGTGTTGCCAAAATGACACTCAGCTTTCTTTATATATATATTATTTTTTTTGTTTGAGACGTGTTTCAATTGAGCTGTCTCTTGTCTTTATTCTTGTGGGAGGATTGTAACATAAAGCACTGTACAGAAATATGTCTGTTCGCGTTTTTCGTCTTGTGTGTTGCGTAATTTCTTGGAAAGTTCGTGGTTACATTTCATTGTTTTCGCTTGCGTGTGATGATCGAGTCGTGTACATTAATAATATATTTGAAGTCGGCGCGTGTGAAATGCGCACGCGATAGTCTCTGTTTGTATTATTTTGTTTATTGTTGTACATACTACTTGATGCCGATGATCATGCAAATACATGACACTGATGAAATCTGAAATATTGTCGTCTCTCTCTCTTCTCGGCCGTAAGCGAGAAATGAACGGTGCACCACTCGCACGCGCCTGCACGTGGCGACGTGGAGCATCGATCACCTCAGACCTTTTCGATGCTCACAATAACAGGTCCCGGACGGCTTCCGGTTTTGTGCTCCCACACAGAATCGGCGGGGACGAAAAGCCTTAGTGAGTAGCCCGCTCATGTTCAACAGTTTTCTCACGGTGACTGGCCAAATATTTCTAATATATTTTCTTCTAGGCTGCACACATTATGGTAAGACATAGCCCTTCCCTTCAGGTGCTTTATTTTACCTGAAAGTGGTAAAAAAAGGTTTTCCTTACTCTACCACAACATCAAAAACAAGCTTTCTTCTTCGGTGTTGGTAGTAATTGAAGTTACCAGAAGTTTCTGTGAAAGCAGCGCGTGTTCCTGCTATTGCAATTTCGAAACCAAGCGAAAAGCCGAGTCGTTTTTACAAAACATAAGATTTCTTCGAAGGGATGCTATAGGCGAATATTAAGTCGATGTTGATTGCTGAAATAGCAGTCCAGAAACATTGTAGTGCTACTTTGGTACCAAGAAAGCTTATTTTGTAAATAACATCACGTTTTAGTCGTCGGCATTGCGCTAACACACTTCAGATTACCCAAATCAAAGTGGGCACTTTCATGTTACTATTGTCATCTACAACGTTGCCCGGCTTTACTGCGTGGCCGCCGACACTAGTAGCAGCAGAGCGACAGTAGCGGGAGCCACATTAGCAACAACGGCCATTGAACAATTTTCCGCCGTGACCTCCGAAATCACAGGCGTGTTTGGTTCCACTGGGCCCCGGTAAATGGCACAAACTTTCCAGTTTAGCCAGGCAAAAATGGATCTATTCAACTACTCACGCCATTCATCATAGTAACGTCCGGCTGTTTTTTTTTTTTTCGATGAATGAAACAGAAACAGACAAGGAGGTTTTTATTACGTCTTTTCATGCACGGAAAATTCTTTTTTATTGCAGCTAGTTTGATTACTAGTGAATTATTGTAGTTGGTTGCCCTGACGTCATCGGAATAATTTCTAAACTATTCTACTCATGGAACCGTCGGTATATTTAGCTTTGTTTCTTGGTAAGTAGGGCACTGCTGCTGATAATATTGCCGTTTTAGACGTTGTCATATATTGAGCTTTCACTCTGACATAAATTGTTATTTGCCTTTAGTGCCCCTTTAATGGAAGGGCTTACAACAAGAGGTCCGGCACCAATCTACAACATTGCTGGAACCAAAGACCTTTACAGCAAAGGCCCAAGTACAAGCAGCTATTGACCACGAACCGTGTCTTTGGCCTTACTCTTCATCTACGGATCATGAAATAAAGCCACAGTGGCTCACAAAACGACAGCATTTCCCTTTGAAAGGAACTCTCTTAGTCTGCTAAAGGAAATAAAGTGTCTTATAGCTTGATGAGGTAGTCAGGCTCAGTATAAGTCGGAAGTCATTAGCCGGGGCGACGGCTAGTTCCAGGACAACGGGATGGAAAGTTATGCAGGCCTTCAACCCATGCCGTTACATTTTAGACTGATTGACATTGCTCAGCTCGTATTTGACACGGAAAGAGTTGTTTTAAACGTGCAACGCTGAAGCATGATCATCATCATCATCATCAGCCTGACTACGTCCACTGCAGGACAAAGGCTTCTCCCATGTTCCGCCAGTTAACCCGGTCTTGTGCGTGCTGCTGCCAATTTATACCCGCAAACTTCTTAATCTCATCTGGCCACCTAACCTTCTGTCTCCTCCTGACTCGCTTGCCTTCTCTGGGAATCCAGTTAGTTACCCTTATTGATCAGCGGTTATCCTGTCTATGCGCCACATGACCGGCCCATGTCCATTTTCTCTTCTTGATTTCAACTGTGATATCCTAAACCCCTGTTTGTTCGCTAATCCACTCTGCTCTCTTTTTGTCTCTTAAGGTTACACCTATCACTTTTCTTTCCATTACTCGCTGCGTCGTCCTCAATTTAGGTGGAACTCTCTTTGTAAGTCTCCAGGTTTCTGCTCCGTAGCTAAGTACCGGCAAGATACAGCTGTTATATACCTTCCTCTTGAGGGATATTGGCAATCTACCTGTCATAATTTGAGAGGGCTTGCCAAACGTTCTCCACCCCATTCTTATTCTTCTAGTTACTTCAATGTCGTGGTTCGGCTCCGCGGTTATTACCTGCCCTAAGTAGACATAGTCTTTTACAAGTTGAAGTGCGGTATTACCTATCTCGAAGCGCTGCTCTCTTCCGAGGTTGTTGTACATTACTTTCGTTTTCTGCAGATTAATTTTAAAACCCACCTTTCTGCTCTCCCTGTCTAACTCCGTAATCATGAGTTGCAATTCGTCCCCTGAGTTACTCAGCATTGCAATGTCATGATTGCAGTGTTAATGCAATGAAGCATGATACAGCTCTCAAATCTCGTGGCTTTACGCGCCTTCGGCGTGGCGCCCCTTGCGATGACTAATAACGTGACCTGCCAGCACTGCTGCACCGTACGATGCGGCCTTGTTAACGCGGCGCATCAACTGTCACTGACTGAGGCAATTTCGATACGCACGAAAAGTAAGTCACTGTTATTTAATGAAATATAATATGCTTACACCGTACCAAAATCAAGAACAGTCAAGCAACAGTTAGACTATGGTTTGAACACGCATATTTTGTGTTTTTAGTAAATGAAAATACTTTCCTACAGTTGAAAGCGGCGATCGAGGGATGCAATAAAGGCAAATAGAAGGAAGAAAACTGTACAGCTTTTTCCAGTCGATCGTCTGAACATGAGGTGGAAGTGGGAAAAAAATGGATGCGATCATGAGAACTTACATTTTTATTGCCCAAGAAAAAAATACGTAGACTTAATTAAAAGGCTGAACACGGCTGCATGATTAATGGTAGCGCATGACATTCTAGGTGCTAATAGCATACGCTGCTATCACTTGCTGCGGATGTGCTGAGGTGGCTTGTGGGCTATATATGGTGGGCAGTTGGTGGAAGGGGGGAGGGTCATCTTCACAAAAATATAGCCTCGGCGAATTGCTGACCGCAGCGTCTGATCAAGACACACCGAAGAGCCTCGCATCGTTCGCTGGATTTCAAATGGCAGCCTATGGGGCGTTCCGAGGTGTTTTCGCATCTGTATTGAGCGCACGTAGGAACGAGCCATTCCAAAGCAATAGTATGAATCCATCGGTGGAGGCAATATGACCCACAACACTATGGCGTCATACTGAGAAAGATTAGAGTTTGCAGTTTTAATCGTAAAGATTGATCGAGGATGTGTAAGTGCCAGTATAATGGATATTCCAGCGAGCCGACGCCATAAAAAACCGTCATGGCTAATCTCTATTCTGCAGCGCACTCAGTGCACGTCAGCGCTTGGACGCGAGCGAATCAGCCGGCGTTATCGGCTAAGCGGTTAATATCGATGCTGCAGTGACTTTGCAGAGATAGTGCAAGTGAATAAAGAAAAAAAACTTCGATGTTACCTGGCCTCAATGCAATGAATCAAGTGGTCTAAGTGAATAAAAAAAAGGTGATACGAGAAAGATAGCAAAAAAGCAACTACTTAAGGAAAACGTGGTTAATCTCCCTTTTTAGGAATCGGTATAACACTAAACTGAAACGTGTCCTCACAGAGATTGTTGAGCATTCATTGTGCATTGTTTCACCGCAAGGGTGAAGGAATAAATGCTGCAGTAACAAATCGCAAAGTCACGTTAGGAACACCAAGCAACTCGAAACTTGCCGCGTACACCTCAAGCAGAAACACGCAGGAAATCAGCATACATAGGATGAACGCGGTCTAGCAACTGTCACAGCTCGATACTTTAAGCGCGCTGCTCAAACAGAAAGACGTACGAAACGAACGCACAAGTATACACCTCGAGGAGAGCGAACAGCGGTCACAATTCTTCCTTCATCGTGTGGGAGCAGCGCGCTCCTTTCGTAAACTCAGCCGTGGCAGCGAGTGAAACGACGCTTGTGCTTTCCTTAACTACTGTAAGTTCAAAGCAAACTTGCGGTGCAAGCACAGGGGGTACATAGTGTCCAAATCTCGAGACAAGCGCGCGCGCGAGCGAACCACCATGCTAGATAACATCTATGCGCACTTTGACCACGCCATGTGGAGGTACACGAGCACATCAACGCGTGGAGTGCGCGGCACGACGAGCGTCTAGAACCTGGTCGTCACAACCACCTTTAGAGCGCTCGTCGTGCCATCTTGCTACTTATGACAAAGGTGCGCTGAAGTGCGCAGCTCGGAGGGCCGCCAGCAGAACATTTTGTATATAAATGGCTTGCCGTTACCATACTGAACAAGGATCGTTTGGTTGCTTGGTGGTTAGCGTCGAGTGCTGAGGAGCGCGAGGTCACTGGTACGACGCCGCGATGTGCAACTTTTCCTTCTCGCGTTTTTTTCCTTTGTGGTCTGTTAGTAAATCTGTAATTGTTAGACCTGTCGTGGTGGACCCCGGCATAAAACACTTCCGTGTTAAAAGAAGCCGTGCAAATGTGAGATATGGTGCACCACAATTCTCAAACGCCTCAAATGGACCTTTCGACGGATTGTACCATGGAGTCAGAAATAAACTGAGGAGAGGCCGTTACGTCATATATTGTAAAGCAGGACGTAGGAAAGAGTAGAGGACTCCTCGTAATGTTGGGCTCGCTACGGCAGCTCGCGCATGTGCAACGGGCGCCACCAAGAGGGAGGCGAGCCGCGTGAGCCGATTTCGGATGCGTCGGGTGGCACCGCCGCCGCCATCTGATAGTCGAGCGGGAAAAGGGAACATTTTTTTGCGGACTATTAGCAAACGTGCTGCGATACTCGATTTCGGGGTGCCAGTGTGCCATTCTCAGCCGCATTACGGCTCATTTTGTGAATCTACAATCAACTTGCAGCTTTGCACTTCGTGTTTATACCACTGAATGCAAGAAAGCACAGTCTCGAACCGTGCGGATAA